AATTATCTTTATCATTACCTTCTTTCATCAATTAACCAGTTACAACAGCTTTAAGGCAATGTACACAATAAACCATACTAATCATTGCAATTTCAAGGAAACAACAGATCAATAAAGCAACAAATAAAATAATATAAAATACAAAATTTCTGAACAGAGTTCTAGAGACTTTAAAAAAATCATAGCTGCAACCATTATATACAAAGCCAATATGTACACTGTAAGACAGAGAACAGTAGTTAACCTATTCACATAAGCCACACTGTTTTTGAAAGGTTGGTCCAAATTCCTTAGGTTATTGGATCATTAAAAATTGTTTTACAAAGAATACTGGACCAAGGAGTGACGTTGTATAGCCATTCTCTGTCTGCAGAGAGAAGGGAGCTAGACCAGAGTTAATTCAAGATTTTACTTTTTTAAAAGGCAATTTTAGAAACTTGGGATTGGCATCCGCCATTTACTGTTCCAGTAAAAAAAATCCATTATATTATCACCTGACCTTTTTATTTGTATCAAAATATTGATGCTAACATACAGCAGACTGTGGCAAGGAAGTAATCTTTTATTATGTTATTTTAAAATTATTTTTATATTTCTCAGTTGCAATATCAAAATTGGCCACTAGAGGGGAAAAGAGAATAATTTCCCAGTATTCTTCTCCCTGTTAAGGACAACACGCAAGTCGGGAACATTCAATGAAACAAATTATTTGTGCAATAATAAACAGGATAGCAACCTATCTGTGAGATGTAATTAATAAAGCAAGGAGCTCCTTTGAAAATGTAACATTCTGAAGGCCAAGTCTCTACTCATCTGAGATGTGCACCCAGTGCCTATGTATGAAAGAGCTATTATAAAACTGCAATTAGATTGAATGCCAAAGTACTTAAAAATCTTTTAGATGATGATGATGATTGGAATGAAATGAGTTTCTGCTCAGAAATGGACCCCATCAAATGATTCAGTGTCTAACTTGTTACTATTTTAAACCTTAAAAGAGCACTTAGTCATTTAATCATCATCCTCTTAGAACTGCAGAACTGGAAGGGACCCTATGGATTGTCAAGTCCAGCCCCTGCCAAGGAGCCATAGTGGGGAATCAAACTCCCAACCTCTGCCTACACCACTGAGCTATCCAGCAGTCTTCTTAGACCAAAAACCTTTCAGGGAAGCACATGGAAAAGGTCCGCTCATTGAGAGCGTAACAGGGAGACATGGAAGTCTGCTGTATGTTAGCATCAATATTTTCGTTCCATTGAATTTCTTGCCCTGAAACTTACTCTTTCCATGAATAATGAACACTCACCACTTCGTATTTATATACTGTTCAACTATTGTGAGATGATGACATTTTGCTTATGCATTATGTACAAACCTTGCTTGCCACAGAAAATAAGAAGTTAGCATCCTTTTTAATAAAATTGTCTTCCAAATTACAGTGGTGCCTCGCTTAACGAGCGCACCGTACAACGACGAAATTGCATAGCAATCCCTTTTTTGGGATCGCTAATGCGATCGCTCAACATCATTTAGATAGGGCGAAACTCCCTTTGCGAAGATCGGCAAGCGTTTCGCTTACCGATCTTCCCGACGATCAGCTGTTAGGCGGACAAAATGGCCGCCGGAAGCCCCGAAATGGCCGCGCGCAGCGTTTTCGCGCCCTCCCCTCACTTAACGAGGGCGCGAAAATGGCTGCCGGCCATAGGAAGCATCGCTGAACGGTGAGTTTTCGGCCCATTTGGAACGCATTAAACGATGTTTAATGCGTTCCAATGGGTTTTTTTGATCCGTTCAGCGATGTTTCGCTATAGCGAAGGTTAATCCGGAACGGATTAACCTCGCTATGCGAGGCACCACTGTATATATTCCATCAGTTTAGAAGATGCTTCACCCCACAGCTTCTCACACACACACACAAACGCACACACACACATACACAGCTTAACACACACACACACACACACACACACACACACAATCTCATAGTACATCACAATTTATGTATTGCTCTGGTTCATAATTCCAAAGCAAACTTGGCTTGAACACCTTCTGCAGATCTGGCAGTGGTGTTTGGAAATGAGACAATATGAATTATGCAGATGCCAGAGCTCTATCCATAACCTAATTGAGTTGCATTGCCTAGATGCTAATATACTACAGACCACTTCCTCAGTAAAAGTCTGTCATACAGTATATTTAAGGAAGATAGTAGAGAGAGTGGTGGCTGATTGGCTACAGGCACTCCTGGAGGAGACCGATGCCCTCAACCCTTTCCAGTCTGGGTCCAGGCACATCATGGCATGAAGATGGTATTGGTCGCCCTGCAAGATGACTTTTTCAGGAAGATGGACAGGGGCAAAATGTCTTTGCTCATCCTCCTTGACTTCTCAGTGGTCTTTGATACCATCTACCATGGTATCCTCTTGGGGAGGCTCTTCGAGTTGGGGACCTGGCTTGGCTTTGGCCTGGCTCCAATCCTTCCTTAGAGGACCATCCTCAGAGAGTGTAGCTTGGGGAGATGATGTCCACTCCTTGGACTCTTAATTGTGGAGTCCAACAGGGGTCAATCATCATCCCAATGAGGCCACTGGGAGAGGTCATCATGAGTTTTGGAGCTCACCAACATGCAGATGACACCATCATGGGTTTTGGAGCTCACCAACATGCAGATGACACCCAGCTCTATCTCTCCTTCCACCCTTCTACAGCCCCCTCCCTTGAGCGCTGCCTGTATGCCATGCTGGGGTGGATGAAGGACAACAGACTGAGGCTGAAATCCTGTGGGTGGGGGCCCCTAGTGTCTGTAGTTTGGGGGCCTTCCTTTCTTCTGGTGGGCTACTCTCTCAGCTAAGGATGAGGTTCATTGTCTGGGCATACGTTTTGACCCAGCGCTATCAATGGAGTCCTAGGCAGTGTCTGTGGTCCGTTGCACCTTTTTCCACCTGAGTCGGAAAGCCCAGCTGCATCCTTACCTTGACACCAGGTCTCTCATCACGCTAGTTCATTAACTGGTAGTCTTGAGGTTAGACTACTGTAAAGCTCTTTATGTGGGGCTGCCCATGATACCACCACAGAAAATCCAACATATTCACAATATGGCGTCCAGATTAGTGAGTGGAGTGAAGAAATACTACCATATCTCCCCTACCCTGGCTGCATTTCACTGGCTACCTGTCCATTTCGTGCCAGCTTCGAGGTGATGATGCTAATGGACAAGGCCCTAAATGGTTTAAGATCTTGATACTTGGCAGAGCGCTTCCTTCCAGTACGATCTGCCCGACCTACTCAATCTTCCCAGGCTGGGTGGTCGAGAGCACTGACCCCGAGAGCGGCCAGGAAAGAGAAGACCAGAAACCAGACCTCTCTCTCCCCCCCCCCCCCCGCCCCGGGAGTAATGTACCTCCAAAAATGCCTTCTTGACAATTGATCCCCATCTCTGGAATAATCTCCTGCCTGACATTCACCTGGCCTCTTCACTGGGGATTTTCAAATGATCCTTGAAAACATGGTTATTCAGAAAAGTTTTCCCGGAGACAACACCATCATAGTGCGGAGGTTTTTTCAGCGCTTATCTCAGGTAGGTAGGTAGGTAGGTAGGTA